GGAAGTGCACCTGTCAAGTCAAAATTCTCGGCAGTGATTGTGTAAAGCAAAGCCTTTTGCACATTTTGAAATGAACAGGGATAGATAATGTCGGTGAGACCGATCATGTGTAGGCCATTTCGTAATTTTAGCGTTTCTGGTAAACGCGTAACAAAGCATGATGATGTGTTGTTAGCATCCGAAGTAACAGAAGAAGGAAGTGTAACATATGTATCCATAACCGACCGCGCGGTACACGTATACTAGCGTCAATGAAGTCATTGTGATATTTCCCTTCTGTAGTGCGGTTGTTATGGGTTTTCGTTTTAATCTACCAAGTCAGACAACTGTTATTGGTGCTACGCAATGCGGTAAAACTACACTTATTAAACATATTTGCGAAAATACGGAAAAGTACTTTAATGTACCTATAGATCGTATTTTTTGGTTCAGCCAATGTGGGGCTTCTTCTGGTGTTCCACTGACAGATGACCGTCTTTTAGTAATTGAAGGACCTCCTGACCCCGAATTGATCCGCGAACAAAAGGGTAATAATTCTATAGTTGTACTGGATGATTTGATGAATTTCTTCTCATCATCCAAAGAAGCTAAACAGTTGCTGAACAATATATTCACCGTGTGGGCACATCATTGGAACTTGGCAGTGTTCAACTTGGTACAGGCAGCTTTTCAATTGGATCGAACAAGTAGAATCAATAGTACTTACTTGATATTGATGAAAAGTCATTCTGATGTTTTACAAATTCGTAATTGTCTCCAACAATTGTTTGGATCCAGATTTAAAAGTGCGTTTGAAGCTTACAGTGACGCCATGTCCAAACCATATAATCATTTATTGATTGACAACCACCCCTTGACTAATGAAAAACATCGTATTTTGACTGATATTACAGCCGAGTACCCTGTTGTGTATTTGCCACGGACTGAACTTGTCATTTAACTTTATGTCTCGCTCATGAGTGGTCGTATTTTACAAAACTTTGATTTTCTCAAAAATTGTATCAAGAACCCCTCCCTTATTTCTACCTGCACCTTGACTGAAC